CAAGATGGCTGGCAGTAGTGTTTGAACTGTGCAGCTTCTTCTCTTTTCATTACTGTAGACTTCTGCAAATGTTCATGTCCCTCCTGCCCATTTGCTAGCTATGGCTTTAAGATTAAATTCACATCTCTTTCTGAAAGGTGTGTCAGGCTATAAAGTGCTATTTTGATATCAGTGTAAATTGCAAAAGAATGAAGGGCACAGGGCAGGTACACTTAAGGTCTGTCATGCTGCAAATGCTATAAGTCTGCTTAGGACTTTGAAGGGAGAAGATGTTCTGGGCTGGGGAAGCAATGGAGGGACATTAGATCTGCATTCATCGGGGGCTCTACCATTCCAAGGCAGCCATTTAATGCTTTTAAATGGTTTCCCTGTTATCTTAGAGGTACAGTCCTTTATTTAACTCTCTAGATAGCTTGATTTCTTAATGTTTTAAAAGGACTATGTAATATTTAAATGGAAGGTGATAGGAAAGAACAGAGTGATATCCTAAAATATATAGGCCATGGATTTTTGGATGACTTGAAAATATTATGTCTCCTGAAGTATATCTTAGTAGCTCCTAGGTGCAGCTCCTACATGTGGCTGACTTGAATCCAAACATTCAGACCCAGTTACAAAATGTAACCAGCCTGGATTACCACTGATTTTATCAAAAATGTTCAGTTGTTGCCACATTAATGTGAAAAAGAGTATCTCTCTTAGGTAGACAATTTTTAAAAATTATTTGCTTTTTGTATAGGAGAATCCAGACATAATGGGCCTTTTTCTACTAAACTTAAGGAGGAGACATACCAGAAAGGCACTATAAGGAACTCTGATCATGGCTGCACTGTCAATGCTTCTTTTCCAAGCTGAAAGCAGAAGAGATAGCCACAAGAGGGAGGCAGAACTCCTATGGCAGTATAGTAACCCTAGAAAAAATAAATCAGAAATACACTTTCAAATTTTCCTTCCTTGAGCTAAAACTGTGCAGTAGCTCTTGCATTGAGAACAATAACTGTTGGCTGTAACTCCTCTGCATGTAGCCTCAGCACATGGTAAATAGTAAATGGTTAATGTAAGCTGAAAATTAATAACTGCTAAACAACAAACCATTTTCTTAAAACTAAAATTTAGGTAAGAAACTACTTCAGGAGAGATTGAAACTGATTGTCATGTGCGTTTTTGTAGATGGGAACTAAGACTGCCTCCATTATTCAAAGTTGTATTTGTGCTAGGCTCTAATACAGAAATATTTTGTTTCTGGAAGAATACTTTTTATAACAATTTGCTTCTTGCAAATACATTGTAAGGATATATTTAAACAGTTCCATTTCCATAGCATCTCAACAGATAAGGAACTAGCCTCAAATGGTGCTATTATTTATCCTATTAAGTACTTTCACTGGGAAACAGGCCTTCTAGATTCAGTGAGCTCAAAAGAGAAAGCAATTTGGATGGAGGGAGAGGGTAGGTCTGGTGTCTAATTTCTGCTCCAAGGACAGAATTTCATAAACTGCAGTCAAGCATTGACAAACCTGGTCAGTACTCTAAACCCTCAAAGTCTTCAGTCCTTCTTTTCAGTCTTTAACTGTCTCCACCTCTGTACTCACCCTCTAGGTAGCCTCAAACAAGAAGAAAGGGATCCCTAACCCCTTCATTTCCCAGCAGTGCAGTGTTCTGACAAGTGCACGGCTTTATAGTACACAATGCTGATTGTGAGCGTAGCAGCAGGTTGGACTCCTCAAGAGAGGGAGAGTAGGGGAGTAGGGGAATACCTTGCTAGAAAACCCAAACTGGACTTGGCTGTATAGAACTGTGGTAGTTTGGGTCACATACAGGAACAGTTGGTGTTTGCAGACATCTTTCATGCAAATTTATGAGAGCTTCTGGGAATTATGTACTTCCAGAATGAGGCAGCAGCTGCATGGGGGTGGATGAGACAGGATTAGCGGGCTTGGCTGCCTGGACTTGGACTGAGCCACAGTGTCTTACCTCGGGGTGGTGGGGAGTGGCTGTCTCTTTTAAGAGTGTCCAGAAAATAAAAAGGTCAGACTTTTCTGTCAAATTGTTCTTTCCATCAATGCATAATTGTACATATCCTTGCATGCCTATACAACACACACAAATGCTTCTGTTTTTTTTATAGAAAATAGTTAAATATTATCCTATTACAGCATTTTTTGTTGGAGGTATTTGAAGTGCTTTACGGATGTAAATTTAAACTGAGTATGTAGATGACTATGCAGACAGGTTAGGATATTTGGGTGAAAAGGCTAGTCAACATCACTGAAAAATTAATTAGTCTGTTGTCCTTTTCTCAGCTAAACATGGAATCAGCTGAGGTAGTCAACTCTTACACCCAGTTTTGAAATCCAACTGATTTACAACAGGCCAAATTCTGCGTGGAGTTCATAGTCCTGAAAACTGGTGAGATGTGATTCATTGAGGCTGCTTGGTGCAGCAGGTCAGTAGTCCAGGCAAGAACCTGCAGTGACCGCTAGAGAGCAACAGCCCCTTCACTTCTGAGAGCCCACGGAGGGTGAGCACGCAGCCAAGTGCCTTGTTCCAATCTGTGGTTCACTTCTCCAGATAAGACCCATATCACGGACCCCAACTTACCAAGCAGAAATGTCAGTCAAGTCACAATTTCATCATGCCGTGTCTGCTGTCCCTGAACAATTTGAGAGCTGATTTTGACAATCAATGGTTCAGATCCAAATTTAAATCTATTTGTTCAAAAGCTTTCCAATCTTCTATAATATTCATATTAATTTTTACAGCATTTGTTCCTTTGTTCCCAAGATGAGTATTTGTAGACTGGGACTCCCCAAGTCACATGTTTTGGATAGTTCCTGACTTGTCACAGGACTTTGTGAGGTATTACCACACATTTTTCTCTGCTGAGATTGTAACTTCAGCATATCCCATTTTGCCACCAGCACTCCCCTGGATATTCCTTTGCACCAACTGTCACTTCCTGAGAGCCACAGCAAAGGGTACCTGTAAGAATTTGGGAAAAAAATCAAATAAACCCGCTGACTGCTGCAGTGAGAAATAAGGTTTGGATAACAGGAATATGGGCACAGGGGATGCCATAGTAGTTGAACTCAATCTCAGTTGAAAACTATCTGCAGTTTTGCTTTTGTTTCGGTTGACCTGAAGTCAGAACTCTGCTACTCTGCCTGCATCTGTGCACTGACATGAGGTTTTCCCACATCATTCCCTTTCAATCTGAGGACTCTGTATTAGTACAGTTACTGAACTGACCATGCCCTAACAAATTTGTTTGCTTCCACAGAGAAATTGAGCTCTCCTTTTCAGTCCTGCATCAGGAAAACCTTTACAAAAGAGGCTCCCAATTTTAGAAGTTACTTTCAGCTGTATTCAGCCTGTATTCAAGCTTTTCCTTCAAAAGCTCTTTAGACTGAGCTGACTGCTCCCAGTTTATCTACAGCCCCTGGAGTAGTAACAACTGGGAGGCTGCAGAAGGCCCCCAACCAGGGAAGGACCAGTCTGCCTAGACCTCCTGAACCCCAGCATGTGTCTGCCACTTGCTGAAGTACCCCAGTGCTACTGAAGGCAGTACTACAGTCACCCCTGTCCGTTAGGCTTTGCTGTCCCATTGTTCAGAGTTGAGAAAGACACCTTTCATAGCTAGTGTATAAAATACTATTCCAATTACTTTTTTATATACAGCAGTTATTGTTAGGCTTCTGATACTGTGACCAAGATGACAAGAGTTTTTTCTGGGACTGGTACACTTCATGTTTCAGACACATCTGCTGTGACCCACACCTGCACCTAAGGTGAAACAGTGGGCTGCTCCTCCATCTTTTGCTTCATCTCCAGCTGACCTTCAACACTTTCTGTTTTAAAAATTTACCATATCTGGACTAGTCGGGGTGGGCAATCATGTCAACTAAGAGTACTGAAAGAAAACTGTTTTTTTCCTCTCCAGATTGTGCTATCTCCCTCTAGTGATGTCTTTTGTTTGGGTACACATTGCACTGGCACTCTGACCTCCCCATCTCTTGTAGGGTGTTATTTTGGCTTATCTCTAAAGACTACACTGTTACCAAGGAACTTTGAGCTCCTTGGTTTTAAAATTTCTGGTTTTTTTTCTCTAAATCTTTCTTTTAAAAAACATTATGCATATTGGCAAGCTATCAGGGTTAATAAAATCCTACCCTCCCAATTTTATATGTTCATTTCCAAAAGTCACTGAGTATCTGAATTATAGTAAAAAACTCTTAGTACTAACAGCCACTGAATCTTAACTTTCCTTGTTTCTTCTGGCTGACCTGATTTACTCTTAAATAACAAATATGAGGCATCGTACTTTGTGTACCTCCATTTTCTGATACTTTAAAATGATTGACTTACTGTCAATTGTACTGAGCTCAGAGCAATACTCTGAACAGCACTTATGATAAGTATCTGATTTTATTTGACCAAGAGAAGTACCTACCTCTTCAGTCTGATACAAGGAATGCTTTTTGAGAAAAACAACAGACTGAAGTGGGTCTCAGTGACTCTGAGGGAAGTGGAAAGATGTATGAAATGACACACAGCTTACTGAACTTTGAAAGAACACAGAGAATCATAGCAGAGGACTCTATATATTTTAGACCTGATACTTGCTTTGCAAACACGTTCTGATCACAGGAAGATACCACTCTTTTCCTGGTTTTATTGGTCAAAGAAGAGACCACTGAGTGAGGCTTCAATCCTCAATTACTTTGTTTCCAAATGCTGGACCATCTTCCATATTATGTTAGTACTACTTCAAACTGTTATGTGGCTCAGGCTCTAGGCCTGCTCCATTTCCCTTGCAGTCTATTGTTCAAGCTGCCTGATCAAATGAAGTTCTCTCTTTTCTGTATGTAGTCCCTTAACTTCAAATTTATGTTGTCCTTTATACCATTCAAAATATCCTTTTCCTCTTCTGAATTCAAGACCTCTGATTTATCAGAATATACAGCACATACAACTTCAGTTTCACAGTGAAAATGTGGATATGCTGTTTCACCTTAACATTTATTTAAATTTTCATGTAGTTTAAACAAAAACATGACATCCTGTTTCAAGTGATATAAAGAAAAAAAATAAACCACTTCTACGAAGTTAGCCAGTGTACAGACTTACTTATTTTACAAAAAAAGAAGGTAGGAACATGTTACAAAATAATAATTAAACCAATCAGTGTCAATAGTGCAAAGAATAAATTGCAAGTATGAAAGAGAGAGGGAAGGAGGGTAGGACGGATGGGAGGATGGATGGCTGAATGTGTGAGGGGTGGCTGGCTGACTGAACAGAACAGGAACATCAGGAAGAGCTGTGCATGTTATCACACAGAATTTTCTATCGCAGACATGTCATGATGTAGATTTAACTTTAGTGGCAGAAGAGAGTAAGTATTTCATCCATTAAGTGATCTCTGTGTGCTGTAAATTCTTATGGTGATCAGTTCTAGAGATTAATACAGCTATGCACACGAGCTGCTAAGAGTCACTGAAAGAAATTTTTCACCATCTGGAACAAAGGTGACCTATCAAGGACTTGATTAGTGCACCGAAGGGCCAAGGAAATGACCGAGAATTCTATGTAAGCAAAAGGGCAAGCACCTCCAGGCTGAACTTCATACACTTTTCCCACTTGCTTTCATGCTCTTTTGCATGCAATTGCTGTCTGTCTTGGGAGGTGACTGTTCAAGAGGGAGTTTTAGCAGCTACCAAATAATGTGGACAGGTGTTGGACATCCTATCAAGTAACTGTCAGCCAGCAACCCACCAGAGAAGGAACATTATTTCTGCAGTGATAGATCTGACTCCTTCATAGGATGACTAAATTTAAATCTAAATAAAAGAACAAAAATAACATCAGTTTTAGTATTTCTCAGATGAATTAACCCATTTTCTTTTTCTAGCAGAGTGTCTATAGTTAATAAATGTAAGAGACATTAACTAAAATAAGCTCAGCTGCCTTGAGATACTCATCTTTATCCCTTGTGATCAAAGACACTTCATGTTTCTAGGCAAAATTCCATACAATACCTCAAGTCTTACCACAAATATTAAAATCCTAAGGAGAAATAGAAAGAGGACTGAAAGTGGGAATCACTTTAGGGAGTAAACGTATGCTTACCTTGAAGGCACATTTCCTGCATGGAGTGTTTGAGTACTACAAAGCTTTCAAATATACCAAAGGACAGTGACTGCATCTTTCTCAAAAGAAGCAGTAATCTGAAACTAGTCAGAGAGATTTTTCTGCATGATTAAAAAAAAAAAAATCCTCACTACAGGCACTGCTCGTATCTAAATAATTTCTGCTACTTTCAAACTCACAAACTTCTCAGATATTTTTCCTTCAATCAACAGTCTGTTCAAATTACTACTATACTCACACAGGTGAAGAGTATATGTACATAAAGTACATATATGACAGTGTGTAACACTGAAAAATTGGCAGTATTTAATCAATAAAAAACAGTGGAGACCTCAGTAAGGGCACTTAGGATCCCAGTGTTCAAATTATCAATGCTTGTAGTGGTGCTGGACTGAAAAAATAATTCAGTTGAGACACCTGGTCACACCAACAATAGACTTCTTAAAGATTTTGGTTATTAGCACTCTTTTGAAAAATCAAACTACTTAGCCCAGTCCTTAGGAAATAAGATCTTTTGAAATTATGGCTGGGGTATTCATCCTTAACTCTTGATAATTCAGTGGCAGGTACATCTAAAAATCTCTACAGGGATAAGAATGGATTAAAATAGCTTTCATATAAACCAGAAAACTTATCCAGTTTTGCCTGCATAAATTCATGATGACTGGAAGAAATACTTCTGTGTACAACTACACAAGAAAGATGAGAGTCAGGTTTTTCATTTGCTGATTCTGAATTAAAAATAAAAAGTTAGTGATATAGTGGTATAGAAATTAAGTAAATCCATAAAGTTCCAGTATGTTTATCTTTCAGTTACTGGAACATAGAATGTTCTGTGGCACAAGTATGATAGAGGCTGAATAATTTAACAATTCAACAGAAATGGAAAATTATATTCCTTTTATTTTCTCCCCTCTTAAGGCGTATTGTGTTTCCATGAGCTGAGGGGCAATAGTCAAAAAAAAAATCAGACACTGAGCCTGCAGGTCAGAGTAGAAAATCTCCATTTCTTTCACAAAACATTCTCACGTTTCCTCAGTAACATCTCAGCACTGCTTCAGCTTGGGGTTTTCTTTTTCTTTCTTGATGGTGGGATTTCAGAAACTGTACAGTAGGAGCTGCAGTGAAAAGCAGGAAGACCACCCAGAAATTCTTTGACTGCCTTTGAACAGGAGTGAATTTTGTAGAGGAGCTGCCATGCAACTCATCACAGCCAGCCTGTGCCAGAGCTGAGAATCAGTCACAAATTCACCCCTGTGCTCCCAGATATTTCACAACCTATACAAGTTATCATTAATAATATCATAAATTTTAATCCATTGATCTCAACATTCTTAATAAAAGTTAACAGCATTCTTCCATTTACAGAGAGATGTTGCAAATGCTTAGTATTAACTGGTGTGCTCCAAGGAGCATCCTGGGCCCAAAAGGGCTACCTGCAGTGGGGTATTACAGGCTTGTCAGTAAGTCCTACCTATTTACAGTGGTGTACCTGTCTAAGTATGTGTCACTAGGGTGATGCAGGCTTGAAATGTAGGTGCATATAAAAAGGGCATTTAAAAGTTCCCTACAATTTATTTTAAATTCTACCACTTCCAGTTTCAGACTCAATGAAATTAATTTCATTATTTATTTGTGATTTTAACATTGTAGTAATTTTTATGAGAGTCACAGTGAAAGTACTAAATAAAAAGTGTATTAACTTTTTAATATTAAATGTAAAATGAAAAAAAATATAAGAAAGCTTTCATTTTAATTCATTATGATTTTAAATTACATTGCCAAAGTTTTCCAAATGTGTATTTTATAGTCAGTAGTAACCTTTCAAAAGATAAATGATTTAATAAATTACTTTACATTTAACATTACGAGACAAAATATTACACAAGCCATAGAAACAACTAAAATTGGGGACTTTTAACACTGTTTTCTCTGAAAATATGTGTAAATGAGTGATTTATATCTTCTGCACTTTTATTTAGAAAGAGGTTTTAAGACTTGCTATTACTTCCAGCTAAGTGGGGATAAAAATCTCCATGATAGAAGTTTGTTAATTTTTGGAAAGAGATTTTGGGGCCCAGTTAATGGGAGTATTATAAAGATACAAGTTACTTATATTGTAGGTTCAAGACTGAACATGAAAATATTGTGCTGGACAGACTTCTAAGGATTTTCTGGAAAACAAACAACATTTTCTGTTAAAGTAATTGTGTTCTGACATTTTCAATAACCACCCATTTTACCCATCCAAGAAAACATACAAAAACCCCCCAAAACCAAAACTAAACCCCCATGTTTTTCCCTTAAATATCTTTCTAGGCAGGAATGATCTAATCTTAGCAAAGTCCCTCTGGTATCTCCACTATTGTAACACACATTCCCTATTACTAGCAGCCACGACCATGTTCAGTCAAGATACCAGAATGGCTCAGACTACAAAGTAAAAATGTTAAGAAATTGCAGAGGCTTTCTTGTAACTTGTGCAAACCCTGTGAAAACGTGCACAGTGACATGTCATTCAAGGGATGAGACAGGAGGGGCTGCACAGAGGGACAGCTCTGTGATCAGCTGTCCTGTCTGTAGTTCATCTACTTCAACACAGAGATGATTCTCTTGGTTTAAGATGCAGAGTGAGTTGATTCTTCAGAATGATGCTCAGGGTTTTCACTCTGTGGACCATTTCAGAAAGGAGATTTTATATAATTTTTCACTTGACCCTCCCTGAATTTTATTTGGCAGTTCAGAAGGAAGCAATTCAGTCAAAGGCCAAACCAAAAGGCATTGACTCAAAGTACTTAATGTGGGAGGGCAAGATTGTGAGATAAAGGCTGTTTTCTGGTGTGGCTGAGATGGTTGCCAGACCATATTTGAGTGCAGAACCTAAACAGTGAAAAGGCAGAAAAGGCAGGCTTGACTGTACAGCTGTACTTGTTGCAGCAAAAGTCCGTGGATCCCCTCCAAACAAACCCTGACCACATTCTTCTCAAAGTAAGGATCATCAGAAGGAGAAAAAATTATACTCTTCAGAGCATTATTTTAAAAGTAGTAGTCCCTTTTTTTAAAAAAAGAAAAATACCCAACGTCTGCAAGTCCTTTCTTCCAGGTCTGTTAATTTGACCACCCCTCTTGGGACTTGCAGACTGATCTTCCTTTACTGTATAGCACATTCATTGACATCTGCAGTACCTTCTCCCTTCAGATCCTCATTCAAGCTTTTTTTCTGCTCTATTTCAACCTGATAGAAGAAAAAGAGGAAGAAAATTTGTAATGAGAAAGGAAAACAAAAGATTCACAAATCTTCCTCAGTGGTGGTTCTTGTGCTCAGGTGAAGAAACTCTTGGTGACCTGAGAGGGCTGTGAGGAAAAATAGACTGAGGATCAGGGTAAATTGGATTTTATTTACTATACGGATTTCCAATCTAATCTAAGCAGTTCTACAATTCAGCAGTGTCATGAAATAATTTCCAGAAGAGATAATGTCATGCAGAGAACTCACATGACTTTATATTCATTACCATTCCCAGTTGTACTCTGAATATAAGCTCAGAACCAAATCTGCAGACAATAGGTGGCTTTCTATGTGACAGCAGAAAATCAGCCTTAATTATAAATTCTGAGAAGACCAATGTATAAGGCAAAGAGATTTTTTAAATTATCTTGAGTCTGAAGGGACCCATAAGGATCATCAAATCCAACTCCTTGCTTCTTGAAGCAGTGCCTAACACTACTCCAAATCTCAGCACACTCCCTGCTGTGCTCAGGCTCAGAGGTGCTTTGGCCTACAGATACCAATTTGGATGGGACAGGGCCAAGGGGATCTAGGTTTGGGTTCTAAATTTCCACATCTCCAAAAACTCAGGAATAATCCAGTGTTTCAATTCTTAAAAAGAGATACTTAGGGAGATCAAATATTATCTCCAGGGGATTTAAGAAACTACTAAAATATAAGTACAATTACCAGTAAAAATATTTGCCATGAGAATCTTTTCAGAATCTCTTTATCATTGCTCTCAAAGAAGGCAAGGTAGGATGCCAAATTCTCTGCTGAGTATTCAGATAACATGCAAATTACTGAGTTATTTTGGCAGGTATATACATAGTGCACTTTCCTATCTGCTCCTCTCCTTAGGGCAGGCAGAAGAAATAAGTATTTAAGGAGAGAAATACTGTGATTCTTTTGTCTGCAGCAGGACTCCCACGGTAGCACTCCCACTAGGGAAGAGCAGCAAAACTCCCTGTTCAAACTCTCCATATCAGCTAATCTCCAGGAGTTGGCTGTGTGCACACTCTTCCACAGCCAACTGCAAGCAAATTTATTCCATCTTCACTGAGATAATCCACTGCTTATTTGCCATGAACCAATAGCTGCACATGGGTAGCTACTGCACACAGCCTGGCATGAGCCAAATTCCCACCTCCATTGTCCAGGGTATTTTATTTGTCTGCCCACACTTTTCAAGACAATGAAGCATGCAAAGTAACCATGGTGATTAGCACTGCTCAGTTTTACCTTGTAACTGTAGTGTGCTGAATAATTGACCCACTTCCTCACATCGGTCTTGTCCTCGACAGAGATGGACCGAACAGTGGCTTTGGACGCAGAAGTGGTGGGCATGTCAAATTCCACATCTACATAGCGGACAAAACTGGAAGGCACTTCCCGGTCAGAGCCAAGCTCTAGGTGACAGAAAAAGCAGTGAGGATGGCCAGAAGCTGCAAAAAGAGAGTAAACAGTCATGAGAGTTGTGTCAGATGAATCTAAACACAACGCCTAGCAGAAAGCAGCATCATGAAGCTGCAGGAAACTGAGAATCTCCCTTGGCGAATTAGTTCATAGCAATTATCTTACCTGCTTCAGTGTGGCTGAAGTTACCAAAGGAATTAAACAAAATGCAAAAAGGATTGCTAATCACTCTAGTTTGCTTTTACTGGGTGAAAATATAAGAAGTAAATCAAGCACAGTAGGGTGAAAGTATTTGTCCTCTTGACTCCCTCAGTGTCTTTCACATGCTAAGTACATTGTGGCACATCCTTCCGAAATGTTGTGAAACGACAGTAAGGAAAGAAGGAATTTAGAAATATAAATATTTGATGTTTATTTGAAATTGTTATCCCCCTTTTTTTACAGAAGAAAATGTACTGGATAAGGTTAAATAACTTTCTTGTGTTCAAAAAGCAAATTTGTGCAAAGCTTCAGAGTAACCATTTATTCCTCACTGGAACCCATGGCAAGGTGGCTAGCCGTTAAGGATGGCAAGGAAAGGAGGTCATGTTTAGCTCTGCCATATGTAAATAACCCTTATTATTCTTTCTTCTTTGTTTTCCTGGACAGCAGTGATGTTTAAAAATGAAAGCAGGGACTTCTAGTCAAACTAAGCTGGCTTTTTCTCTGACTGCTGCCAACTCCTTAAGCTCTTGAGCAAGTAATTTAATGTCTCTGCCTCAGTTTCTCTATTTGCAAAATGAGGATGAAAACCTTCACAGCCACACAGGGCTTTCTGATTGAAAGGATCCCATTATCTACATATGTGTAAATGAATGTATAAGTAAATTAATGGAATCTTTGTCTGCCTTTATTATAGGCTTTAGGATTCCTGAACACTTGTTCACTAGGAAAGTTCTTCTCCATTCTGGTCAGCAAGGTGTACAGGACAGAGACAACAAGGAATGCAGAGTAAAGAGAACTGGGTGGGGAAAGCCCAGAAGCTCCCACTGGGAAAAGCTGGAATACACCTGCTTAGCCCAAAGTCAGCCTTGTTAAACTGAAGCCTGAAAAGCAAGATGTAGGATTTTGAAGTATGACTTGTCTCAATAGGATGAAATTAGGCAGTCTTTAGAGGGCTTAGCATTGCAACATCCCACTTGACCTCTGAAATAGAACTGGAAAAAAAATTCTACTTGGTGTAAGTCTGGGTAAGAATTTCATCTAGAGTCAGCCTGATATTTCAAAATGGTGTAGCCAAAGTTCCCTAACCACTGGAAGGTTTGTAAAATAATGTGTGTGCAGCAAATCCAGTGAGAGGCTGTGCAGTTCAGCAGAGACTAAGGATATGCAGCACCAGAGCTGGAGACAAGTTATGAATGAATGGGTGCAATTATCAAGCAGATATAGAAGCTCAAGTTCTTGCAAGCATTAAAAATACATCTGCTTTTTATCAGAATTAATTATCCCAAGCAGAGTACTGACTCATTTGCCCTAGTTCTAGAGCAAGTCAGGATCTCTGTTGGACAGCCCTTCCTGGCTTTTCACACATGGACATTCTTTTCCTGGATCAAGAGCTGTGGTACACAGCAGCCCTTCCTGGTGGTCCTGCCCACCACAGGACAGCAGCAGCCCCAGGAGCTCTCAGAGGCATCACCGTGCCCTCCAGCACCACAGTGCTTTTGCTTTTGGCCAGCTCTTGAGCGTGGCTGTGGTGAGCACAGCTATGGTGGCAGCACAGTTCAGGATCTGACACAGGGCCCCTGGGTGACACAGCACTGCTCTCTGGTATTGCATTACGAAGATGCCTAAAACTGGCTCCAAAAATCTGTGTTCAGCACTCAGTACTGGCAACCAATCCCCAGTCTCAGGCTCCCCCATCCTTTCATATCTCTTTCCTCACACTGTACCACTCTCAGCAGACTCCTCATTGTAATCCTTCCTGCTCATCTGCTTTGATATGCTTTTCCTCTCTGGTTTGCTGTGGGTTGCTCCCTCCTTCAGACTGGAGAATTCCAGCAGCCCAGGAGGAGTGGCTCTGTTCCCTGGTGCAAGCCACATCCACAGCTGCAGAACGTTCAGCTTGTGCTGTGACACTCCTGAGCTGGCATGTGCTCAGCTGCTTTTGGGGTGGAAGGTATCCCTGGGAAGTGTTCAGCTGGGCTTGAGCACACTGCAGACCAGGTGCTTTGGAGAGCTGAGCTTTTCAACTCTTCATAATTTCAACTGGACACTTGGTAACACCCCCCCCCACCCAGTTCCATAAAAATTATGAAAGTTACTAATTTAAACCAGCTCAACGTGACAGATAACAAGGTGAACAGATTAAGAAAGCAACTCCTCCACTGAAGCTATTATAAAAGTACCTAGCCCATCAGTGTGTCCTGGGCATGAGGCTCCAACTCTATAGACTGTTCAACAGGCTCATTCAGAGCTCTTTCTCTAATGAACAGGTACCCTTCTTAGTAAAATCAGGAGGAATCAACACACTGCTTTTGTTTTGCACCTCTTGTTTCCTTGAGCTACTACCAGTTTGTTCTGACAATCAAGGATCTGATAATTAATATGCAAGTGTAACTGTGACTGGAGAGAATGTATTCCAAATGACTCATGACACTCCAAATGTCCTACATGTTTGGATTAAAAGATATAATTTACTTCAGAAAGTATTCCAGGCAGCATGCCTGGGATCCACAGCCAAATTAGAGAAAAGTTCAAATCCAGATCCAAGGCTCTGCATAGATGTTACATCCCTGCTTCACACAAAGAGCATGTTCCCATGATAAAAGACTGTTTGGATGTTACCCTAGTATTCTGCTGGTGGATTTAAAAAAAAAAAACAAAACAACAAAAAAGAACATGTGAAGCCCAGCCAGCAACTGGAGCTGTAAATAGCCTGCAAACACGCATTCTTCATCAACTCTTTTGTTCATATTAATTTTAAATGTCACAGGCAATAAAGTTTACCAAGCTGTAAAAATGGACAAATATTTGCTATTTGGATTTCAGCAATGTGTTCAGTAGAATCCAGTCCCATTTTTTTTCCTTAGGTCAAATCATAGTCAGAGTACGGACTGTCCTTCACTTGTCACATGCTTTCCAGTGTTCAGTGAAAAGCAGATACTTTGGCTACAAAATAATACAGACAGTGCTGATAACACTGTCTCCTAGAGTGAAAGTGCAAAGGGCTCCATCCCATTAGAAAGCACAGAAAGAAAAGATTTGGATAAGAGGGCAAAGCTGCTTAAAAAATTCTTAACGATCTGGGAGCTTTGGATGCTACAGTCTGCATACAAGCAGTGAGTTATGGCAGGGACACTTTCTCCTGGGAATGGCAGGTTTGGGGGTCATGTTCCTCACCTCTGCACAGAGACTGCACCAGTCCACATTCAGGGAATGGAGTGAAGCACAGGAGGTCCAGCTGACCATCTGGAAACCTCTGGAGTTCTGGGATTGTGTTTGCAAGGGACTGTGTGTCAGAGCACACACTGTGCATGAACAGAAAGTCCCAAAATGTGTGCCTACATATGTACTCCTGTGAGTATGTCTGGCAGACAGGCACATGTGCTGGAGCACACATGTAATGCACATGCCAAAGTGGTGTGGACGCATTGTGTGGCCTCTGGAGGCAGGTGGAGCTGCAGGCTGAGGCCACCTGCAGCACTTCCCTCAGTTCCAATGTCAGGAACTTCTCCCCTGCTCTGGAGTCCCAGGCATCAAAGCAGTTCAATAGCAGGCCAGATATTTATGGAAGATCCAGAGTGCACTTAGGGGTGAGTTACAGGTATCACAGTAAGAGAGCATAAAGTGTGGGTCAGTGGACTCATAGTTTGTTTTTGGTGCTTGAGAACTGCATCATTTATGACAACTTTGCAAATACATGAAGTTGAGTTATTATATGACTGTGGATGGGGCTGGATACAGCCAAACGTGCACAAGGCTGGTAGTTAGATCCCACATGACTATCAGTTGGACAAAAGCATATGTTGTCCATCAGGCAAATCTAAGAAGGAGTGGGAATGAATCCTTCTGAGTGCCACTTAATATACCTCTTTGTTTGCCATATACTTTGAGAAAGGAGAACCACGGGATGAAGTACCACCAATAAACAGAAATAGTCCCTGAAGGGCAAGGTCAGATTTAAACTACTTGGCCTGCCCTGTCATCACTTTGGGATTCCCTCCCTCTCACATACCTCATGTGTCTTGGCCAAGACAGTGCTTCCAAGGCTCTTCCTTTCCCTGAAATAACATCTGATCTGACCGGAGGGGTGAGGACACTCTCTTCCTCTCAGGATGTAAACAAATACCAACTGCCCTGCGTTTTGCATGATGACACTGATGGATAGATGCTCTGTGGCAGGGGTCCAACAGCAGCAACAAATCTGTAATGTATTTCCTTCCCCCTGTCACAGTGTATATACAATAAAGAGTCACAATGGGAAAGAAGGAAACAAGAGGCACAGATCAGTATCTCCCTCAGGGTAGCAATGAGTAAGGCAGCATCACCTTGCAGGAGGCAGTAGAAACAGGGCCTCTTCTCCTGGTTTGCTACTGGCATGTTCTGTGATTGTGTTAAAGTCTGGGGGCTTTGATTTCCTCAGCTGTGATGTCTGTATGGTACACTGAGATCTTTGGAGAGAAGATAGCACAGAAGGCCCAATTTCACAGCATCTCATTCCCAGAGCTTGTGCAGATGGCATATTGAGATTTTCCTCACAAGCATGTTACTGCTCATAAACAGCCTGCGGTGAATTTTTCATTCCTGTACTTCTCTTAAGTTTCCAAGCTCTGTCTTCTTCCACCTCAGTCTACAGGAAACCTGGAGCCTTCCCTTTTGTTAATGATATCCTTCCAAATTTGTAACCTGTGGTGTAAACTAGTTTCCTTGGGGTGAAATGTGACCCAAAAGATTAGGACACTTGGATCACTGTTTTACTGACACTACAACTCAAACTCAGGAAAAGCATATAGAGAGTGTCAAATCTGGTACCACAATGAACTTTCCTTCAGGGAACACTGAAACCCTCCCAGTGACCCAGATGCATTACTACAGCATTAATACTGAAAAGTCCATCACATTTGTAAAATCCTAGATCAGATAGGTCAAGAAGTTCTACTTGAATTCTTTCACTACAAATAAGAATAAACCTGAATTGTCCAGCTTTATTGTGCACCATGGACGACAGGCAGCAAATAGAATGACTAGCAGAAATGGCCAAAGGCAACAGTAGCTTGCCTACATAATTTTCATGTTTAATTACAACCATGTTACCAGAAATACAAAGAGTTGGGATAGAAATACAAAATGGGTTTCCTGGTGGTATTCTCTCTTCAGGTTTAAGCTGTAATTCCCTGATGCACTGATTACAGAAACATAGCCACAAAATGGTGTTTGGAAATGTCTATTTTTTTAAAATGGTTGAGCAATGTCTTCTGTTCTCTTACAATTCTCATTTCAGATAATTCAGAGGCATTAATTGTGGCATATGCACTGAAATATGTAGCACAGGCCCAGTATGCTTGGAAAAGATATCACATGTGCTGGAGCTACAGTAATATATCTGATCCTGTCATTCAGTCCATAGCACAGAATCTTGCTTTTGCAAGTTACATGAAAAAGCCCTGCTTCAAATAACAGTATAGAGCACACAGATACTTGATGCCTAGGTTTCATAATCACAGAACCATTTAGTGGAAAATATCTTTAGGATTATCAAGTCCAACCATTAACCTAGCATGAATCTGGTCTACCACTAAACCATCTCCCTAAGTACCACCTCTTTTAAATACCTCCAAGCAGAGACAGAACACATATTTTTGCATCTAGGAAACCTAAAATTGTTTTTATCATTAGCTATATCTGTAGTATATGTAAAACTATTAAAATGAAGGGTCAGACAAATACTTCATGCAACTAACTTATGCAGAGGATGATATATCTCTCACCATTTAAACTCAGTATTTCCTATCTTTCAAAATATATAGCTCATTTATTTTATTCCTGCAGAGATGGTATATGCCACTCACCTGAGTTTTTGTCAGGCAGTCGGTTTATCCTCCATACGATGGAATTAAAGGCATGCTCGTATTTGGCAGTTCCTAAAGTTACTCTCATTACTGGCTCAGAACCAGACAGACTGGTTGATCCAAAAGTGGCTCCCTTGTTCACCTTGGCTTTCAAAGATTTCTCCCCCAGGACACTCTCCCTGCGGAAGTTCTTCACCCACTCACTTGGTACGGGGTAGCGGATCATCACGTTTTCACAAGGGACCTGAGTTAAAGGGTCATGGTTGGAAGAGAACCCCGTGGACATCATCAGCCAGCTCTGCACCTCCACCTCAGCACCATTGATGCTGGCAGCTGTCCTCAGAGTAAAAGGCAAAGTTTTCTCAGCAAAGACAGTCCTGAATCTCATCAGTTCAAACCGACAGGCATCCAAGGGGTTGAACAGGATAATACGGGAGTTATTAAACACATCCTCATCCACACATGAATGGAAGCGGCAGCTGTATAATTTAATCCACTTAGTGGTAGTAGTGGGCATAATATCCTGCCTTGCAACTATTTCATTCCCTTTGATCAGGATATCATTAAGGCCCAGTCTGCATTCTGCCAGGCCAGAAAGGAAGCTGAGGACATAGATATGAGTCAGCACACTGTGCTGGAGAATCACACTATCTCCCTTGGCCAAGATGCCATGAAACTCATCCCTGACATCCACAGTGATTTCTTCTTCTTGATAATTCAGTCCCACTGTGCTCAGATCTGTTGATGAAGCTGGCAAGTTCATCAGCGTGTCTTGCACAGCAGTGATGAAGCTAAGGAAGTCTTCATAATCTGTAGTCCCAAGCTTGATAATTTGCTCTCTCTCTGCAGTGTGTGCAATGGCTGGCTTAGGCTGATACTTCTTTTTCTCCTTGTATGTCGTGCGATCCAACCTCACGCTGTGTATCCTTCCATTCTCATCGTAGTTCTGCAGCTTGCGCTCTGAAATCTCATGATTGATTTCAAGTTTGAGCTCCCGAAAAGGCTTCTCTAGTCCCTTCTCATAAAAAAGCTGTATACATCCACTGTTAGTCAGCTTGACATATATTGGTCCCCAGTGCCTGGATGACATAATGTTCTTCTTCTCTGGGATCCTCAGCATCATTGGCCATCCATCCTTTGGCTGAGCTGGTGCCAGGTTAAATAAAGCTGCATCCAGATCATATGGCATCATGGGGTCATCATCAGGCAAGGTAGGACAGCTCACACCATCTGGGTCTCCAATGTGGAGCTGTTTGAGCTGCTCTACAGCATCTGTGTGGGTTACAGTCTTGTTTGCCTCATGGAAACTGACAGTATCAGCCTCTTGATGGAGAATAATGAGAGAGTCTCTTTGGCTTTTGCCTGGAGCACTGGAGACAGAAGAGCTTTTGGAACGCCTCTCTTGCTCCTCAAAGAATGAGCTGAATGGATTGATCGGTGAGGGCTGGACATCTCGAAGAGATTCATCCAGAAAGGGATTAGTAGCACTCCACGGTGGTGTTTCAACAGAAGGCAACTTGGTTAAAGAGGAGAGATCTAGTTTTTGAATTTTGGAGAGGTCTCCCAATGTGCTTTTAGGACGTTCTCTTTTCTTTAAAGATGTAGTGAGATTAAAGTTAACATCTGGAGCCTGTGTTTCTGCTGGTGGGGTATCTGTTTTCAAGGGAGAAAGGCTCTGTGGTGCAAAACTGACTTCATTGTCATCAAAAGTCACCCAGCTGGGAAAACGAACTGTGGTTGGGGTAGATGAATGGCCATTCATGGAGGTGTTGTTCAGCTGCCAGTTGACAGCCTCCATATCTATCTCTTCATCTTCTTGGAGAGACGAGGAGTTGTCTTTAAAAAAAGAGGGGAGGGGAGGAAATTTCAGCTAATTATTCTGGAGTTACCTAGTTCTCTCCTCAAAAAACCCCTCAAAGTCTGCATGCTCAAGGGAGGCCTATTCATATATTGGGCGAGAATAACATAGTGAAAAGACTTGGCTAAAATTCTGAGGATCTGACAATAATTAATTAAAAGATACACAGTTGAACACAGAAAAGGAATCCAGAAAGAAATATTAAAGGAATGACAGCAATGATTGTACTGATCTCATCCGAACTTAATGACCTAAAGGAGAAACCACATCATGGTTATTTTTTAAAACTTCCCTCTTTAAATTTTCAGGATGCATTTCTTCTCTACAGTTATCTTCTGTTATTTGCCTGGAATGTTTCCTCAGTCTTGCTACAATTTTCCTCCCTTTTCTGTCCCTGTACCCTTTGCTTCAGAGAATAATCCAGTATGAAGAGGAATGAATATTGCAGAAGAGCACATCTGTAATCTGTCCCCATGTACTTGTCTGTGCATTTGCCATTACCACAAAAGCACATGGGGTATGGTGACAGCACTACAAAAGGTGTCCAGGTGTGATTTTTCCCCAGGATGTGTTCAGCAAAGAGACTCTTTGTGGTACCCAGTGTGCAAGAGTCTGACAGTCCTTGGATGTCTCTGAAACATCTCTTGGCAAAGAGATCTAGGGATATAGGTTAGGATAAGGAAAAACATGGTTTTGACTTGTATTGTGGAAGCTGTCCTCATCCTCTCTCAGGACAGGGCACATTTGAATGCTATTTTCTTAGTCTTAGGCTCTGCCAAGACACTTCCTAGAAAACTGTATCACAGTGCACTATTTCAGTCCCAACTCTTGCCAGGATAAGAAGCAGTAATTGGAAGTAATAAGAAGTTTTCCAAAATGAGTACAAATTCTCAGAGTTAAGAAATTTAATTATTTTCTTCCCATTTTCTTCCTACTGAGCTAATGAATCAGAATGCCATGAAAAATGAGCAGTCAGCATGAAATTATACTCTGTAGCTGCACCATGTTTGCTCTACATGATACAGCAGTGCTAGCATTTGTGTTTTTTGCTTCTCCCAGACATCCCATATTTTACACAAGTCACTGTTCTTCAGTACAAGCAAGAAGTAAATGTAAAATGTAGCCCTGTGGTATAGCTGTACACCTGTGATTTGAGCATAATTTACAGCAACAACACCACCAAACTATTTTAAGTCATTATTTAAATTGCCACCAGTTCCCAAAAAAGATGAGCTTGATTTCCATTCTGCCTCAACCATAACTGGAAATTTGAATTTTTATTTCAGCTACCATTTAGAATATGAAATAGGGAATAATCATGCTAGCTGAAGTGCTGCCACGAGCTCATCATAATGTCTTGGCTAACTTGATATTCTGGCCCTCTCATTCCAGCAACAGACAAAATACATCAACCAAGTTCTAAGGGTTATTACAATTGAGAATTTTATACGAAGGTGAATGATACCAATTTATTTTTCAAGCCACAGCAATACAAAGTGATAACAAGGACAGCTTTTACAGACTATCCATGCACTGCAAAGTGTCTATTAAAAGAAGTGCCATTGCCTCAGTTTCTCAGATTTTCTTCTCTACCCTGCTATCTCACTCCCAGCTTTGCACAGTGCCTGTCTGTAGCCCCTGCTACTGGTCACACCACAAGGTGCAGTGGTGGATTCCTTATCTGCTAAGTATTGCCACAAGCCCCAAAACAGATCTGGGGAGAGGAAACAACAACCCAACTGACTATTATCCACAATCACACCCTGAGTGAGAAAGTAATAAAGAACCCACAAAGAATAATCTGATATTGTTCTGATCCTCAGTCCACACCAATATGTTGCCTATGCTGTCTCACAACTTTCCAGGACTTTGGTCATCCAGCATGTAGCACCATGAAGCAAAGGTTTTATGGTATTTTCAGGAAAACATTGCTTGTTTCTTTTAGGACTTCTAAATTTCCAATGTTTATAAGATCTGGGATGCTTAAGAGCAGACGACCTCTACTCTGCTTGCAATTTTAATTTCCTTGTGACAAGGAAAGAAAGCTTTGGTTCTCTTTAATGTATAATCTTTTCATTTTTCTATGTGGCTAAACCTTGACTACTTTGGCCAAAAACATCAGGTAGTATTATGTTACTTGTGCTGGGGGAAAGGCAGCCACCCAACTGCTAAAGCGCATTGATACTGCAAAGTGTTTGTGATCAAAACTGTGCCATGGAAGTAGGAAAAAGATCTGAAGGAATTACAAACCTTTCAAAATAGAAAGGCCGATAATGGCTTTTAGAATCAGATCTGAGCAAATGCCTGAAATTTCAAATTTCTGAGTACTCATCTATTTTGCCACTTGTGAGAAATTAGCTCAGAGCTTCATGGCGTGACTGTTCCTGTTACCTGAATATATTCATTTATGTATAATTCAGATAGCCCTTTGAACTTTAGTCTGTAGTAAAGACATACCCTTAACATGTCACACCTTCCAAAGGGGTCCTCACTTCCCTGATGTGGTCCATGCCAGTCCCTCAGACAAAGCAAGCACTGCTAAGATTTCTGTTGGCATAGCTGGATCTCTTTTAGGTCTCTTTACATGAAGTCCACCAGACTTGGTCTTCAAAGATCAGCCAGGTCATGAGGATGCCAGCAACAAAACTTGTGGCGTCTGTATAAGCAATTATAGAAAAGCAGAAAATGCAGATAGACAGAATCTGGAAGAAATCAAGGACCAGGCTGCTGTGCAGTTATGTCTCCATGACAGAGGTCATACTTCCACAGAGTTTTCATGACATCCATATCTGGTAATTTTCTTGCTTTTCCACATCCAAGTCAATACAACTGAGTCTGTGCACATTTTTTGAAGCAGTCTGTCATGTTTCTGATCTTACCAAGAGAGATGGTGTAATTTAAAAGATGTGAGTGAGTGGGCCATCACTTTGAAGTGACACAACTGAACTCCTATTTGCAACCTTGACACCAACCTCATATGTGACTCTGGGAAAACATCACTATCATATCACATCACAGTTTCTAGTTCTCTTCCCACTCTTTTCTAATTTCTGACTATAGAAGTGTTATATGTGGAACACTGTTCCTCTGTACCTCAGTATCCAGTACATTTCTAGGGCTCTCCAGAACACAGTGTAAGTGGGTAAATGCCACAGAAGTGCATATAAACGTATAAACTGATTAATTAATAATAACAATTAATTATTATTAATTAATAATAGCTCTATTGCATCTATACACTTGAAAATACTTTCAAGTTTAGTACAAGCTATGAAGCCAGGCCTGTTCTTGTCAGCTTTCCTTTTATCACAGCTCTGTTAATGGCTGAAGGTCAAATCTGTAACTGCTGCAGACAGCAACATAAGCATACGGTACGAAAGTGCACAGAAACTAGATACAAGGGTATACAGCTCAAAGCACGGAAGACTTTTTGTCAACAGGAGGGTACTACCAGCTTATTTTGCATGGAAGAAATCCCTCTGAGTACAGCAGTTATTACAGCTGTATGCCTCCTATGTACCTTTGCTATCAATTAGTGTGTGGTAACATTAAGAAACGTCCTCTCACAACCTTGCAGGACACCTTCTTCCCATGAGCTTCAAAACAGATGTTGGAGACAGAAGAAGAGGCATCCACCTTGCCTCTTTTCAAGATTACAGAGGACAGCTGGAAAATCCCAAACCTCTTGATCACCAACATGCAACAGGTTGCAAGATAGACTTGTAAGCATTCCTCAGACTTTTGAGTGTCTCTGCAAGTTCTGGCATGTAGAAGAGGTCACTGCTCACATCGGCCATGCCCTCTACTCTTGCTACTGAACACACCACATGCAAAAATTTAACAGCAATTTAGTTCTCCAACATGTTAATTGTCAGTACAAAAGTTAGGCTTTACGGCACAGCTAAGAGACATTTCAAAACCACCACAGACTATATAAGCAGCAAGAGAAGGTGCAGGATGAAAGATGGAAGTCACAGATCTGATCTCTGTAGTTTCCTCTTACTCATTCTCCTCCCACTTGACTGACTTCTCAGGTCATGTTGAATGGATTCATCCTCAGGCAACTTTCCATTCATAATACTCTGCTAAATCACAACATCTCTTTGAACACAATTGTCTAAATTTAGGCCACATAAATCTGGACTGCTTAAACCTTGTTGCATCCCAAACTTTATACTACAGTAGTACTACACAGACTGTTCCCAGCAGTGGCTTAGTGACTACTTAAATACAGTGCCTGATGCTTGGTTAACCATTGCAAATTCATCATAAGTCCTAAAAGAAGTTTAATTGTCAAAAGAAGTTATATCATCTGAAGCTACAAAGAAGTTAAATCATCTGAAGCTACAAAGAAGTTATAGTTATATCATCTGAAGCTACAAAGAAGTTATGTGATGGAGCTTTGAGATCTCTTTAAAACACAATGAATATCATCTAGATTCAATTAATTTATCCCCATGAGTCTCTATAAGAACTGCTATATTTCATTTTAAATGTAAGCCATCATGCAGATACTAAACTGAAGATGAAATACCAGAAAATGAAGACTCAGCCCTCACAGATAGGTTGCAGCAGCCCTCATACTGCAAGAAAACTGTTGAAAAGGACAGTCCTCTACATATACTATCTCAAAGGACCGTAGAAGTTTTTGTTGACTTTGTCCATTGATGTTTTGACTTTTTCTAACAATTATCTCTCTGCACAGAAGTCTGTGTTTATGGCAAGGAAGAACTACTGTATTCCAGGCATTTGTGCTTACAGCGCTTCACTGCCCGGAATTATTTGCCTGGTGTCCCCTCCACTCACAGCACCCCTGGCTGCTTGGAGAAGGAAAAGAGCATCTTCCCAACAAACAAGACTGAACTAACCATTAAGACACTGGTTTCATACTACCAGAACAGCAGTACTTGCAGCTGTTAAGTCTCATTGCACTATGCAGGAAGCTATCAATCACTTTCCTCTTCTCTATCTTTATTCA